TCATTTTTTCAGTAATTTACCGTTAAATTTCCAAAACATGTAATTTATATATTCAAAAAAGTAATATCGTTATATTTTATAGATATTCTCAAAACTTTAATAAGAATTATTGTAAATTAAATACACAAATTAAAGCTGATTTTATTGGTAATAAAATATATTTTTTTTTCATGTTTTTCAGTAATTCAATGTTGAATTCGAATTTTTTTATTTTAAAAAGTCCAGAAAGTAATGTTCTTATATTTTATAGAAATTCTCAAATCTTTAATAAGAATTATTGTAAACTAAATACTGAAATTAAAGTTGAGATTATAGATAATAAATTGTGTATTATGTGTATCTGATATTCTTTGAGGTTTTTAAGCAAATTAATGTCAAATTGAGGTCACAGCTAAACCATTATTTCAGTTGTCATCTTATGTAATAATAGTATTTGCGAGATATAATTTAGTAAAGTGTGGAAACACATCTGCAAACACATAAATATATATCTTCTCGTTCGTTCTACATATATTTTTTGTGTGTGTGTGCAAACAGCACAAAGTGTTTCAAGTATTTACCGCAGCAAAAAAAATAAAAATGAAACCGCAATGAATTTTAGTTTGCGCAAGCATCATAAACCCCGAACTCCCATAATGATTTGCATTCGAATGTTCGGAAATTGTCAGAAAATAATTCCGCACGAATTTACGATCGCAACCTTCGAACGTTTCCATCGATAACGGAAAACCGCGATGATGGAAATACGAGGAACGTATTGGATTAATAAATTTGCGTGATTTTTATGGGGTAGCTAACACGTTAATAGGGGAGAGAGAATTATTATTATTATGGAAGTGCAACTATACCCTTCGCATTTCGTGCAGACATTTATCGAGGTTTTTGAAGGGGAAAACAGTTTATTACGCATAATAAACACACTCGCGCACGCAGCTCGAAACTAATCAAAACTAATTAACGCGCGAAGCGGGATTAATCTGGGCAGAAAGATTTATTAGCGAAAATATCAATAATATTCGGGTTTCCGGTTTTAACGGTTCTAATTAAATCCGTGCGCGCGAAATTTAATTAATTCGATTTCTCCGGTTCCGGTTTCCCCCCCAATAGATTCGTTTAGTATTGATTTCTGTTACTAATTTTTTTTTCCCCTTTTGTTCCATTATTTCTTCTGTATTCTTTTCCACTCCGCTCATTAATGATGCATCATGTATACAGCGTGTTCTAGTATCAATAATAATCACACGTTAGGACACTCGTCTCCCCTTTACTAAGGTGCAATTAGCAATTGTTAGTCCCCCTTGAAATACCTCTGATTGGCTTTTATCCATTCACGTAATTGCAGGTATTCATGCAATGCTGCCATTTGCCTCGATCTACATGCATCCTTTACTTTCTACCTTTCCCTCAATTCTTATTAATATCTAATAAAAAATAAACTTTACATTAAAATCAACTTTTTCAATAATAAACACAATTGTTAATACATTTTCAAATTAGATTTATGTGCATTTATTGAGCCGTTTATTTTGGAAATGGTGTATTTTTCAATTTTTAGTTTGTTAATTATAGTAACGTTTATAATTTGATGTCAGTTATTATAAACAATAATTTGCGATTAAAAATTAAAAATATTGACCTGGGTTTTTATTTTTTTTTTAATATTTACTTGGGTTTTTAATAAATGAAACTATTTACATGAGTTTTTCACATTTTCATGAATTTCTTGATAAGATACTTACATGATCGACCACTCGTATGAAAGCTGAATGTCTCACCTTTCCATCGAGTCTATTGGCATCTTCGTACTGTCATCGAGTCACCTGTTATGAGCTGTAGAACGTTTTTTTGTTTCTTTTTTCAGTTTTTACAGTTTTTCGTGAATTTCTCGCCAACCCCTTAAGACAATTACATCTTCGACCACTCGTATGAAAGCTGAATATCTGCCCTTTCCAACGAGCCTACTGGCATCTAGATACTACCTCTGAGTCGCCTGCTATGAGCTGTAGAAATTGGAAAAACAAAAGTGAATAGGTTTTACCAAAAAAGTGGATTTTCGTTAATAACTCGAAAAGTAATAAACTTTTTTAAGATTTTATTGCATAATTAGATTAACCCATTAAGATAATACCATCATCGACCACTCGTTGGAAAGCTGAATATCTCACCTTTCCAACGAGCCTACTGGTATCTTCGTACTTCCTCCGAGTCGCCTGCTATCAGCTGTTGAAATTAAAAAAGCATCGAAAAGACGCATTTTTTTCAGTTTTTCGTGAATTTCTCGACAACGCCTTAAGACAATTACATCGTCGACTACTCGAATGAAAGCTGAATATCTCCCCTTTCCAAAGAGCCTACTGGTATTTTCGTACTACTGACGAGTCGCCTGCTATCAGCTGTAGAAATTAAAAAACCATCGAAACTAGTCTGTTTTTACATTTTCAATTAAAATACATCAAAATTCAATTTTTTTTATAAATAATTTGATCAAATGACGCTTTGAAATAAATATATTTCGTGCTGTATAATTCTAAATCAAATTAATAGCAATTTCGTGGTAATAATATTTCATGAACAAGAGCAAAAAAAAATGTTTCCTTACTATATTTTAAATGGTTGTGTTTAACAAAAGATTTGAATCAAATTTTATTACATGGGTTTTTTTTTTATTTGCATATGAAAGTAGGTTAAAAAACAGTAACCTTTTTAAGAGCATGTAATAAATATTATTAGATTTGGAATAATTAAAGAAATATGAAAATTTCTTTAGATATTTGATAACATTGATTAATTGAATCATTGGATTTATTAATGTGATTTATTGTAATTTAATCAATTTTTGTAAAATTTTAGTCAATATTTTTTTTTTGATATAATGAAATAAAATAATGAAATAAAATATTTCCATGGCAATTTTGATTGAAAAATATATTTCTAAAAAAAAAAATAGAATAATTATTGTGACTAGATTTTTTAATTGCAATTAAATTTTATTCAAATTACATTCGTTAATTACAAATTATTTCATATGAAAGTTATAACTGTATTTAAATAAAAAATAAATAATAATTGATTAATATCAGAACACGTAATGCTGTATGCAAATCCGCTTTCTTCGGTCGTGTCGTGAAAAAAATGGGGAAAGTAATGTTAATTTGTTGGGTGGTCACATTTTTTTATTTCATTTCTTTATATCCAACCACGTCATCAAACGTAAATTAGACCAACAACTTTGAATCATCAGCGCGTTCGTTAAATATGCATGAAACTAATATGGAATTTTTATTAACTTTGCTTTGCTCGTATAATAATCTCATTATTACTTAACAATTACACCAAATTCAGAAGTTCAGAAATTTGTCTGAACATCAAATATGAATCCTTTTGATATTGAGATAACTTAAGGCAATAATGTTGCTAGGTAGTAAATACAAGTTCATAACAAGATTTTGTACCGTTTATTGGCAATAAATTCCTGCCGACAGAGGAATATAAAAATTAGCCGAAACCCTATAAAACAATAATGCGGTCGTCCTTATCAGCAGTGCCATGTAAATTTTATATTTCCATCCGTGCAATAAACTTTTACTGCGTAATCAAACGCGGCGGGGAAGTCGTGAAGTGAGGGACGTTTGGTGACGAATTTTATTGTGTTCCATGCATGAATGAGAGGGGCGGCTTCTATTGCTCCTTCATCGGGATTAAGTTTTATAAGGTCTTAATGGAATTGGCAGGAGAGGATGGATTCTCTTGCTGTCAGCGAAAAAAAATATTGTATAGTGGAAATAATTCAATGGTGCAGGAGGCATCGGAGACATGTTATGAAATATAAGGAGATTGTCGCATAAAAAATGGAGCGAAAGGAGGATGAGTGTGAGTTAGAGAGATTTGGGTGGAAGAGGGTGCCTTCACCGTGGAGAATTACGTGGAGCTGCGAGGAGGAAGAATCTCTTATGCAATTTATGTTTCGGATGAAAAAGGGATTCGGATTTCGCAGAATTTAGGATCTGTGCGTCAGTAGAAAATAATTAACTGCTGATATTTGATAAATTGAGTTATATCCATTATAGATTGAGACGAAAAACCTTTGTATTTTTCTATTTCTAAGAAGAAACTGATGTTTTCAGTTAAATAAATAAATAATATAACAGCAAGAGCCGCACCTAAACTTTTTGGTAAAAGAATTTTTAAAAAATCTCAATCATAATATAAAATATATATATAATATTTGTGACTCAACTAACCACAACAAGACACTTGAAGAGCCGCATGCGGCTCGCGAGCCACAGTTTTAGTCACCACTGTAATATAACATAGTTTAAAACTGTTTAGAAACGCTTGTATTCAAATTGTCAATTTAAAATTAGATTTATTTTGATTATATATTCTTACTATAGTTTTATTATATAACTTGACGATATTATTTTTCTAAATTACATAATCTATTATGAAACTTCGTAAAAAGTCAGAGTCAAACATATGCTTTTATTTGAATCAAAATGTATATGTGGTTGCCTATATTAAATAATCATCTTTTATTTGAAAATCATTTATTGTTTTATTTATTTAAACTGTTTTATTCGTCTCAATTTCGACAAAAGTGTAGATCTTTTTGTCCAAATATTTATTATTAATCAAGGAAATTTCATACATATATTAAAAAGTTTTAATTGTTTAATGGAAGAAATTGTTTTTCATATTATAAGTTTATGCTCTAATGAGATTGTGTTGTATATTCTAATTAATATATTTTAGTTTAAGTTTTAATGAGCTGTTTAATTATATTGTTTATAAGTAATTTTTATATTGCATTGGATTCACAAATTATTTTATTGATTAAATTTATTATATGAAGTTTGTATAACGATTTATGGCTAAAGAAAGTTGTAATTTTAAATGATATCGTGTTGGATTCAAATATTTGAAATTAGATTTGTTTGGATGATGATGTTGTTGATGCAACTTCAATGTTGTTTTGATAGTTGGTAGAGGTGGTGGTGGCAGCAGGAGCAGCAGCGTCGTTGCTACCTTCAGTGCATGAATGAGAAGATGTCAAGAGTGTCTGTCAGAAAGGTGTCGTTCGGTGATAAACTAGTAGTGAAAAAACATGTATCCGTTGTGAATATGCTCGTGAGTTGCAGTAGTTTATTATGTCTCGCCCAGCGTCGTCGTCTGGACAGTGATTAGTAGTAGTGTTGTTACATAATAGGAATTACGAGAGAATCATTAAGCGCGGAAAAGAGAGCCGAGGAAGGCCCGGAGCAGCGGCGTCGTCTCCGAAATTGGAAATTTCAGGGGTGCAAACGGAAATATTTTTTGCAGACGAAAGAAACACCCCGAAATGGCAGGTCGGAACAGGCCCTTGCAGCACAAGAACCTGGGCCAGATCCTGTCCAAGTTCTACAGCTTCACAGACTCCTGCACCCACACCAAGTACGCTACGGACAAGAAGACATTGGACAAAACCTGGAAGCTGATGGACAAGGTGGTTAAGCTGTGCCAGCAGCAAAAGATGAACCTGAAGAACTCACCTCCCTTCATACTGGACATCTTACCGGACACCTATCAACGGCTGAAGCTCATCTACTCCAGATACGAGCACAACATGGCTGAGCTGCACACAAACGAACACTTCAACATATTTATATTTAACTTAATGCGGAAATGCAAGCAAGCCATAAAGCTGTTCAAGGAGGGCAAGGATAAGATGTTCGATGAGAACTCTCATTACAGGAGGAATCTGACCAAGCTGAGCTTAGTATTTAGTCACATGTTGAGTGAACTGAAAGCTCTGTTTCCGAATGGTCCTTTTGCTGGGGACCAGTTTCGCATCACCAAGTCAGATGCAGCAGAATTCTGGAAATCTAACTTTGGTAACAGGTAAATATTGTTTTCTCATCTCACACCTGTTCTGAGTTCATAATTCTATGGAATGCATCATGCACAGTTTCTTATTTCTCCCATGCTGAGAGAACTTCCTCATTCACCATTATTTTCTGGTGATTTCCCATTTATAAATAATTATACAATGGCCAATAAGTCTTTCGCTTTTGAATACAATAAACTGGTAGGCAGACAGGCAGGCAGCAAGTAAATAAAACGTCAGGAGGCGAGCAATCATTACATTATGCATGTCGTCCATCCATCCATCCATCTACCGGATACGGCTTCCGTTTGGTATAACGTTTGACGGAAATAAGTGCTAATCGGTAATAGTAATTTCGCGTTTACAACACTCCCTTGTCGCTGCTCCTCTTTCCTCGTATCAACAACATGGGCAAGTCGCTCCGCGTACGACATCGTTCGTTGTATTTTTAGAACTGCTCTCTCGAAAATAAGCCCATTCATTAATAAATCCTGAGTCACACGGATCCACGCTCTCTCCTCGCATTATTATTGCTTTCTTCACGCACTTCGTTTATTGCGAAGTCGTAAAGGATACACAACACACTTGCTATAGGTCGAGTTACATAACAGCGCGAGCCCAATTGCGTAACCTCCCCCTCATTTAAACAGGTTTTATTAGATTCTTAACCTACTCCAACGTCTTGCAAGAAAGAGGAGCCAACCGACTCACTATAATTTACACCTGAACAAAATAACGACTTCGATTGTACAACTCTTACAAAATATTTCGAATAATTAAAAAAAGCAGTTGAATTCATTAACATGTTTCTTAATTCAAGACTGATTCTGAAGCTGTGCATACATCTAGTAGTATTTTAAGAATTTTGTAAAAGATACTTAAGTCTATTATAATTTAAGTTTAATTCAAGACTTATGAGAAAATAGACATAATAAACTGACTTATTTGAATGATCTAATGTTTTTATCTTGAAATATTTCAAGTAAGGTAAATAAACTAACAAATATATGTCAGTCAATAAATGATTAAATAGATAAAAAAAATAATCTATTGATTTTGAATTACATAGTGATAATGTTGACACCATTAAAGGAAAATTCGAATAAATATGTACAAATATCATAACGAAAATGGTTCTACATGTTGAAATTGAAATGTTTTCTTAGATAACGTCGTTTCCTGAGGATTGTGTCCCAAACTGAAATCTTAATCTAAATTTATATATAATAAATACATTGATTTTATATTCAAAATCTGTAAACAATGTTAATATCATCATTTAATTTGAATTTTATTGTTTTAAGATTATTAAGCGCATTATGTTGGAAGCAAGTCCATTGTGATTATGGCTTCGTAATAATACCGAAATTATTATTATATTGAGCCGCGAGTGGAATAGAAATTTTTCGGATGGAGAATATCGGGAAGGCAGGTAAAAAAATAAGTGAATAGTTTAAATCTGCCTTCGTGATTTTGACGAGACTGCTGGAACGTTCCGATGAATATTTAAATATGCTAATAATCAGAAAACAAAACAACAAAAAAAATAATGAAGAGGAAAGAAGGTGTGTGTATATTTATAGAAAGAAATGGAAGCTCCATTGATTACGAAGAAGAACGTTTCAGGTTTATCCACACATCAATTGAAATTCCACCATTCGGGCTTCCCATTTTTCTTAATTACCTACCACTAATGTGAAACTATACACTTCCTCTCAAGTTACGCCGTTGTGTAATGTGATGGGTCCGCTGCAGACTTATGTCTTCCTGCCGATATCTTTTGTAACGAACGAAATTGAATCTTTTAGAAATAAACAAGATTGTTTTACTTAAATACAAACATTAATTCACGTGTAATTAGTGAAATAGAAGTGTTTTATCCTAATGCAACTTTTAAGAAATGATGTTTTTTTTTTCTATATAAATAAATTACAAACCAAGAGATAAGTCTGAAACTAATAATTATTACTTAATTGTTTCTTTGTTGCTTTGAAATATGGGAAAATACTTGGTATTTCACAGAATTATTCCATATAGTTATATAAAGACTACATTACATACTACTGTACATTAGTCGAATTTGAAAACAAAATAATCAGAATTCCTTCTAATTTTTTTTTAAAATTGGAATCTTGTTCTATTAATGTGTGTGTATCGACATAGATTTAGTAATTTAGAATCGATTAAGTTAATTGGCAGGAAGTGGGACAGGTTTTGGTTTTATTATTCTAGTAATTAAAACCACATTTCTTATGTTACATCGAAAATATTAAATTTGAAATCGTCCAAAAGTTTATCAACTTTAGATGGAAAATAATACCAATAATTCATGGAAAAATAAGTGCTTTTACTTTGGATAAGAAAACAAACATGTTTTGGTTTTAACTTCGTTGAAGATTAATCTTCGCATTATTTAGGTATTGTTAAGAACTTTGCTGGAGCAACTAGTGCGGTAGCTTCGTTCTATTAATAGATGACGACGACCTTTTGATCATTTCCTCATTTCGCCTATATAGTCTTCTCGTGTGCGTGTGCGTAATGGTAATTACCAATGTCTTGTCGTGACACCCAATTACCATATAAATTGTGCAACCGCTGCTGATGCCCGCCCGCCCCATTTTCACCTCGGCGCAATTTTCATTATGCATATGTGCACTTAATGAGATGCATTCCGCTGTGGGTCGCAGCACGTTGGTGTTTCTGCACTTTGGAAAGAGAGAGGAGAGGAAAAACTTGTAGCGAAAAGCCGCACTAATCAAATCCCGCATCCTGGAAGTGCGGGCTCCGAACGAAAGTTCAGATAAAGTCGATAGCAACAGTAACAAACAATAATTATTTAAATAAAATTATTTAAAAATAAAAAACATGTAAGAAATATCATTAACATGAACTGCCATGACTAATGAGGAATGAGAAACCAGATTTCTGCATTTCTGAGAAACCTTTTATTATAAAATCGTTGTGATTTTCATAAATAAAAGCATTTTGTTACTCAATTTTTAATAATTAATAGAAGTAAACGAATTTCTTAATTTGCATAGTTCTCTTATGATGCTTAAAATACCATTGATAATAGTTATTTTTATGTTAATATATCCTAATTGCAAATGTTGAAATTTACTTATGCTTAAATGAAGTTCTTATTCATATTCTGTATATAATTTCAATTGTATTACAAAATGTACTAAATGAAGTAATTACTTAAGCTTAAATGAAGTTCTTATTCATATTCTGTATATAATTTCAATTATATTACAGAATGTACTAAATGAAGTAATTCATTATGAAATGTATCTCAAAGTGCTGCAGATAGATAAAAGCTATAACTAAAAGTCATTACTTAAGTAGTTGCTTTTGCAATTGAAAAATGCTCTTCAATTAAGACGATGATAAAGTGAAGTCTTAAGTGTTTCGATTTTATAAAAATAAACTTTCATTTCAATAATCTATGGAGGAATATTAATTCCTAATGTAAATTGCAAATGCATCAACCAAGGGAATCCGCATCCGAAATGATCGTTCGCTTTTGCTCTACCATAAATCGTCGTCTGTGGATCGCAACAATCTTAATTCGGATCTACCCGTTTCAATTAATCGCTAATACATCCACCCCGTACGTTTATAGATAATAGCATAAATAGTTTAATGCAAACTGTGTGTGTAGATGAAAGAAGTCTTTAAGTGTAGATTGCCGCAGTACTGAGAAGTATAAATTTTTATTTCGTCGCGTAATTGGATCGTTGCGTTTAATTGAGAGACGTTCAGATACGTTCCCAGAGCCTTTCTCTTGCGTAAAAATTAAAAGAGTTGCTCGTTTGCGCATTTCCAAACATGCAAATGGCTCCGAAGAACGATCCTTTCTAGCCATCAATTGAAGCTTTCCCGTTCGCGCTCTTTTTTTTTTACAGTTATCCTCCGCCGAGATGTCATTCAACCAATTAAAGAGCTTCTGGAAATCGATGCTCCCAAGTTTGTTTTTGTTTCTTCTTTATACGAAGAAGACAAAACAACAAGATGTGTTTGTCGTCGGTTGTCTTTTTGGCAGCGGGAGACGCGCGCCCACGCTACAACGATGATACACATTCGCGATCATTATCAATTCCACTTGTTTGCAGCCCAATCTTGATGATGTCGTAGGCGGTGGGCGTCGTAGGTGTTCCGTGCACACCCCGTGACCACTAATTCAACTCCCAAATATAAATGTGCAAATATTTACCGTGGGATAATGAACTGAATTTGGGGAGGAAGAATGGAGTTTCGCTCAGAGCGAATATCTTCGTTAATGAGCGAAGCGCGAGATGGCAATGACCAATGGTTTTGCTGGAGACGCAGAAGTGCACGGAGTCCACCTGCCAGATCCAATTAATGGATGTGAATAACTATGACAACGGACCGCTGCGACAGACGCTGCGTGCTTACATAAATCGCACCGATAACTAGATATTTTTACCTTCTTGACCAAGCCACTTGATCGTAATTAATTATGTATTCCCATTCAGCGGATATTCTATTTCCATCTAGATAAATCGCTTTCTCTAGCCGATGGACGATATATTAAAGGACACTGCCCACTCTTATTAATAGTAAAATCATTCAACTCTTGCGAATCTTCTATCTACAACATAAATTACAAGCAATATCAGATCTTTATATATACATAATTCGTAATTTGTACACTATTTTAACTTATTTACTTGTTTTATCATGATACAGGAAATAAGGACTTAATATATGAACATTGTACGTATATTTTGCTATTAATATTTGACGAAAATCCGATGTGCAAAGATTAATGATAAGAAATTGATTGAGTAAACTTAGACGCAAATAAAAAGAGCACGTATGTACTTATATAATCAATTTGTAAACATGCAACACATCTAATTGAAATTATACGTATGTTAGCTATTGTTCTTCCGCCAACAAATTGTTTAATTAGATTTCAAAAGAAACGAAGCTTCGTGTTTGAGACAGTCAGTCGCTTATCATTTCATTGTAATGCAAGTTCATCACG